GTCTCAGTTCTGCCTGAGAACAGAGGCATTCAGTAGCCAGGATAAGTCTAGAATTAATCATGTATTGCTCTCGGGGCACTTAGCTTCCTGAAGACTTGCACCAGCTTTTTTGGTAGCCTTTGTAAGAGTTGCATAGTTTATACTGTGTTAAGTACATATTTTTAAAAAACTGAATTAAAAACCAAGTTGTCAAACTAGATACTCAAAATAATCAGCCATGTTTTAAGGTCTGCTTTATCATATATAATTCACAATGTGGTCTAATCAGAAACTAATTATTAAGCCTCATTATACCACCCACTATGGCTTTCAAATGTAGATTACAGGGAGGGAACAGCTTTTAAAGTGCCCTCACATCCTTCCTGGGACTCAGTCGCATCTAAGCGAAGACACACAGAACACCCTCAGCCTTTCTCCCTGGGTGGCTATCAGTAACGGGCAGTGCTCACTAGCTTCTTGAGCACCCTCTGGGCTACTTTGCTGCCAGTCTGTATTTCAAAGAGATTTTCACAACCACGTTTCAGCTTCTCCCTCACCCCCCACTTTTATTCTACGAATTGCCAGAAGAGAAAGAAGTCTTGGCAGTATGGCAGGAAACACTTTAGCACCCCCAAAATCCACACAGACGGCTGCCCTCCACTGGCTTGGAGGATCCAGAACGGCTTTTCAGACAATTCTAAAATGCTTCTAAAGTGTGACTGAGCACGTACACAGTGTGACAAACTATTTTGAAAGGCTAACTCCAACTACCAGAGCTTCTGCTGACTGAGTTAACTAATGTAGAAGACAAATGGGACATGCCTTTTTATTAGAAACAACATACAACTGTTAGTATGGAAAGTAATACAATTAATAACAACACAAGAATAAACTCTGTTGCATGCACTCACAACTGTAAACCTACTTTTGCTCCGCCCTGTATAAAGATAATATAAAAGTCACCACAAGGTCTGAATCAACTTCTTTATTTGACCTGATCCCCTTATACCCAAATGTTCAGACGCTGGCTGAGTCTTCTGAGATGTGTCAAGCACTGAAAGGGCCAGATGCTTTGGCAAAACCTCTTAGACGCTTAGAGGCCTAATTTTTAACTATCATATATACATAGACAGAAAAGCTTAAGTCTTCAGAGGCATCTGGATTAAATGAAGAAAGGAATGAGGCCTTGCCATGGGATAAAAATGACATCACAATTTTCAAAGGTGGAGTTTCAATTTGTTAAAAAGACAACTCCTCACCAGATCTGAGGAAGCAAACTAAAACTGAAGGACTCCACAAGCAAATTATTTTTCATGAACCATCAGAATAGGTGGTCATACCAATGCCACAACACACAAAGCCCCCCACACACAACAAACCAAAACACATACACATGCACGCACACACACACACACACAAACATGCAGTGCTAGAGAGAAGCAAGACATTTACATCCACAGAAATACACAATTTTGCCTGAAGCAAAAATCTTTCTCACGTCATAACTCCTATTACTGTGCACAGAGTCACTTAATCAAGTGTTGAACCCAAATAACAAAATATAATTCATGTGATCAGATTTTTAAAATTCTTTTTTTCAGAGGGAAGTGAACACACAACTAAGGCTTACATCTGTGTTTGTAGTTTTTGAAAAAAATAAAAAGTATGCCTCATACTGTAGACTAACAAAAAGGGCTGTATTCTTAACCAATATGTAAAATATGAATATATCCCTAGCAATGCCATGGTCCCCTGCTAATGAAGACATTCTGAACTGTGTCTTTCTGAATTGTGTGGCCCTGCTTTAGGGCCAATCCAAATCAAGCACTCATTAAACTCACATAACTAACTATGGGAGGTAAGGACAGGTGAACCAGGATGCATCTGACTATGCCCAGATACTAGAACCAGGGAACCCTTAGATACTAGGGAGAGAAAAGGAATAACTGTGTCATAAATAGGGTATCACGGATATTGATCTCATCAATACCAAGAGATAATGAAGGCTTTTCATGGTGACAATGATAAGAGCTACCATTTATTGTGCACTTCCTCTCTGCTGGGAATGTAACATTCATTCATCACTACATTTAGTACTCATGGCAACCTTTTGAGGTAGTTACTAGTATCATTTCCATTTTAGAGTTGTGAAGAAGAAGGCTCAGAGTTTGGATTAAGTTATTTAAGTCACAGCTTGTGACAGATTTATGATGGATTTTTAATGGAATTCCCTTAATGCCACTGTCACCTCCAGATTTCTTTACCACTGGAAACATATGACTGGTATTAAACGGAGTTACCAAATTCTGGCAAATACCATGACTAGAGAGAACCACACAACTGCCATGATATGACACTGTATAAAAGGTGCGGATTGGTGATCTGGCATCGCTGGCTTAAGAGTGAGAATTTGCTATGTACCCATGCCCTACACGGCTCTGTGACTAGCACTGAATCAGGTGCTACCGAACTGTCAGGACACCCTGCTGTTTCCTCCACCACTCCTACCCGCGTTTCTCTAGCCAAGTTCCTCATCCATGAAATGAAGCAGTTGTGTTTACCCCACAGGAAGGTTGTGAAGATTAAATACGACCCTGTATAGTGGCTGGCACCAGGGAAAAGTTCCTTTCCCCCTTTCTAGCCTGGTGCAGACAAGCAGTATATACTGCAATAATTCAGAAGGAAAACACCACTGTGGGATAAGTAAGGCAGTTTCCAAGAGATCACGAAGTTTGCGCTTAGCTGTGAATACGCTTTAGAATTCATACCAGGGAGGTGAGTTTTTGCTGAGCGACACAGGAGGCCTTCAAAGGGGCTGTGAACTACCAGGCAGCACTTACACAGAAACATTCTTACACACGATCTTGGATGAGTGGGTTCAGAACAAGATTTCTTCTTCCTTTTTGCTTTAATTACCATATATTTCTTCCCTACTGTCATATTTCAGAAGTGCAGAAACCTGCAACTATCACCCTTTTCAGTGCTACCTTCAATGCTATGATGAGTATATTTATTGACAAATAGGGCCCACTGAACAGGGATAAGATCAAATCAGTTGATAGGTTGCTATTTTTCTATGCTGGTCATCCTATTTTCTCTTTTTCTCCTTCCTAGGCATATACAGATGGTTTAATTAGTTTATCCTGATTACCCTAGTAATTTCTGATCATGGTAATTCACTGAAATTCAGTTAAGCAGTAACTCAACTTATAAGAGTAGCTACATCCACCACTACTTGGCAAAAGTTAACAACCAACAGGTAAATGGGTGGAAGGGTATCACTATCAGCCAAAACTCTCCGAAAGAAATAATAAACTATTGTTTAATACACACACACACAATGGGGGAAAAGACTGCTATAGTGCATCCTGAAACAATGTAAAATTCACATTGTTTCTAAAAACCAAACCTAGTCTAGAATTTTAAATGAGCATTAATTGATAATAGACAACAAACCAGTGTTAGTTAAAAAGGTAAAAATCATAAAGAAGGAATAAAAATCATATTCCAAGTTGCTAAAAGGTAGGAAATCACATAAAAGTCATAATGTCAAACTTCTTTTGCTGCCTGTTATAAAAACTGGTGAGGAGTTCCTTGACCCCAAACATAATAGCCCACCATGTAATGTAGCATTGCCCTTGAAGTTTACACTTGAAAAACTGGTCATTTGAAGAAAATTCAGTATTTAATTCACCTGAGTCTTAACTGCATGCCCCTCTTTCCCTGTAAAAGTAGTGTCAGCTACAGAGTTACTACTTATTGGAGCAGGATGGCCTTTCAGAAGATACGGCATCTGCAGGAGTCGCCACTCGTCTGCTGCCTGAGCACAGCATTCTCCTTCAGTCTCTTAAAGTAAAGGCCACTGTTCGTCTCTTAAGGAAAGGCTTCTCCTGGGACTCAGAGCGAGTTCTAAAGTCCACAGCTAGAAATATGGATGAGGGTAGGGATTTTTAAAAAAGATCCAGTAGAGTAATTTTAGATCATGCATAGTGAATGTGTTCCTTGATTTGTAAATGACATATATCACTTACTGGGTATTAAGTTAAAAGTCTCCAGTCATGGCCATTAAACTGGGAGAATCTTGAACTCTACCCAGAGAACAAAAGTGAAAATAAAATAATTATGAATCATTGTATTATAGGAAAAAAATCAGATTCATTCTTCATTTTAAATGACATGCAAGACAGTCCACAAAACAGACTGACACCCACGAAGAACCATGCAATGGGCTACTTGTGGGGCTGTTACAGGAATCCTCCCCTGCAAGCAACGGCTGGCAACCAGACAGCATATCAGTGACCTGGGACTAGCTTCAACAGAAACAGATTTATTACCGAGTAAAATTCTGTTGGTGAAAATGTGCTCTGGGCAGGTTTAAGTTTTTATGCTCCTTTTCTCCTGTCAAATTAGCTGTAATAACTTGCTATCAACACATTAAGCCTTCTGTAAGGGCTTCATTTAGGTTAGCCAATGTCTTTAAAATGCATTATATTTCCACAGCAATTTAAATGATTACCTTGACATTGCTTTTCTTACTTCACTGAATAAAGTAAGGATGTGCTCTTTATTAGAAACTACTTGCCATCAAAATTGTTCTCTGGTGCCCTGCTTTCCAAAAGATAATTAGTAAAAGTCCAGGAACACAAGGTTGGGTGGAGGGAGCTTGGTCAGTTTTTACTGCGACTGAATTTAAACTATAACCCTTCCCTTAACATGGATTTTTGTACTGCTTCAAGCCTCAAAAGAGAACACTGCAATCCCCAAAGACTAAATCACTTGTCTTTTTTAAAAGTTATCAGAATAGCATGATGCTGAAAGTGACAGTCTGGCTTTGTTCTGTTTGTTAATGCAGCACAGACCTGCTGGCCAGCTGCAACTGGCTCTAAGACTTTATCGCAAATAAAACTATTTGTGTGCCGTTTCTATTTTTCACTGAAACATCACCAGCTCTTCCAGACTCAAGACCTGTCAAGTGTTCTGTTGCCAAGACTCTCCCTGTCAGAAAGGTCAACACCCAGTACCTTCCAGTTGGGTCCCAAAGGACCTCTCTTGGTCTTGACTGACTGGAATGATGCTGGGTCTTCATCAGGTTTGTAGTCCTGCAAAGAGAAAAAAAAACAGAGAAAATTCTTTAGCCTTGCCAGAACAGTGCTTTGCGGCTAGCAGAACACATGACAGAAGCTTACTGTGCTTTTGCATAAAATAAAAGTAGAATAATACTTCTATATGACATTAAGCTTTCAGTTTGGTTCTCTTGGTTTTCAACTTTTACCTTCAGGCAAAATGACTACACAATAAAAAGTACAAGTCTTGACTAGGTGCCCACTGGTTACTGGAAAGATATCTCCAAGAACAAATCTTCTAGTATTTTTCAACAGTTCCAGGACTTTGATATATGTATAATCACATTCAAGAAATAAAACATACCCATCTCACTTTTGCCAGTGCCCACAGATGACTACACTGGATGAATTCCCCACCAGAGAGCAACGATTGCCACGGGGAGCACAGACCAGAAGTGCCGACGCCACAGCACTTCCCCTCTCCTCCACGGTCGGGTCTGTGGTGGGTGCCTCAACTAGGAAGCCAGCCCCTCCAAACCCCTGCCCAGAGCGCCACGGGATGCGCATACCTTGGCTTCCTCATGGAAGAAGTAGCCTTTGCATTCCTGGTAGGATCTCATTGCAAAAGGAGACAAGGTAGAGGAGTTTATGCCTCCCTATGGGGCCACCTCAGTTATATAGCCAGTCACAGGGGAACCATCCTAAAATTTAGGTTTTATGCAAGGTTCTACTGGGTGTAAATTCTTTTCCCCTTAATATACACACTTCCTGATAGAACAGCAAATGAACAAAGTTTCCGAAAGTTCTGTGGGGGGGGGAAGGGGTGTGGGTGTGTGGGGGGGGTGTGTGTTGGGGGAAGTGGGGGGTGTGTGTGTGGGGGGTGTGTGTGTGTGTGTATGTGTGTGCGCACGCGCGCGCAATGTAGAGAAATAAAAAGTTTCCTTTGAGAGCTAAAGTTCAGGTTTAGATGCGTTGTAGTATGAAGAGCTACAGTTCAGGTTTAGGCGAGCTGTAATAGTAACAATGAAGAGAGGTCAGTTGGTCAGTTGAAAATACTACCAGGAAGAGCCCTTCCCTTCTCAGGCAGAATTTCTAAACCAGAAGACCTTCCCAGCATTTGTGGGGGGACCATATACTTTGGGGGAAGTGCCCAAACAAGTCAATATGAAACAAATCATTGTTCTAGAGCAGTGATTTTCCAACCTTTTTCATCTAATGACTCACACAAAGTAATTTGACAGTCTAAGGGAAAAGAGGTCAATGTTCCTGACTAAATTGTCAGGTATTACATGTTTTAAAAATTGTTGCACATCGGTTGAAAATCGCTGTTCTACAGGTAAGTCCTGAACATGGTATAAAGTATAAACAAATTTTCACAAATCAATGAAAACATGTTGAAAAGCAGCCAATCAAGACTCAACAGCTACTCAGTAAATACATATGACATGTTAATAATTCCTAAAGAGAAAGTTACAAATAAAATATGTGAGGAAGAAAAAAATGTGAGATTTTGATGAAAAACAAAAACAAAACTTTAAAGATATCTGGTAAATATATGACCTTGAACTAGAAGCCTATGTACAGAATGTCTAAGAAGCTATAAAGAAGGCCCCAAAATGGGCTAAAATTATTATACAAGCAAACTTAGCAGGCCCCACAAGGTCTTACTGCTTAAAACATGCAAAGTGGTGTAGCCACAGGTCAGTCAGTGCTGTCCATGAATGAGAAATTAGGATGAGCCCACTGCAAGGAGTCAGACAACTAGAGTTACTTCATGTGTCTGGACCCATCAGCAGGAGGTTCAATTACTGTCAGCTAAAAGGAATTCTGAAACTACTATTTCAAACCACACCCTAAAAATTAACCACCTCACTGCTGACTGAGAAAAGAATCAACTGCACAGGGGCGGTCTCTCAGGACCTGGATTCACAGTGAGAAACTAGCCATCGTGCTAAGAAATAATCATGAAACTCCATAAAACATTTTCTTTTAGGTCATAGGCTTAGAATTAAAACCCAGAGACCAGCTTGGTTTACTCCAGAATTGACAGCATTTAACCTCATATCAAATAACCACATTTGACATCATTTCCCTTAATCAAGGTCTTTCAGCCACCATGTGGAAGAAGGCAGTGTGCAGGATGCTAAGAGGTAGTCCAGGGGGTAGGGAGAACCAACACCTGGTTTCCCCTCCTAAAAAGCCACAGGTTAGCTGGGAGAAAGGGAAACAAAGAAAAGGTATCTGAAAGCCCAGGGAGTGCCTGTTAATTGCTAACAGAGAATGGAGAGAAGAATTAGAACAGAAACCACCCGACACCAGCCAAGGAAATGTATTTTTAAAGTAAGTTTTAACATCATGATTAAAAGCAGAAAAATTTATTGCTAAGACGCATTGCATTAAAATTATTTATGATTAAATCTTAATTATCTGTACCATGCTCAGAGGCTGGGCTAGTGTTTCACCCCATTTGAAAGATAATATTTTTTCTTTTTCACTAACTGAGGTGTGACCTCGTTGTGTGATGCTCACATTTTTTTTTTTAACTCAAAATCTGAAATGCTATAGAGTCTCACATGAGTTGAACAATAAATACCACATTTCCTAAATCTAAGAAAGGATGCTCTATTACTTTATGTACCACTCAGAAGGAAAACACTCAGCCAATAAAATATACTATAACTGAAAGACAAATCCTGATTTTTGAATATAATAAAATACGAGGGGAAAATCAAGGGAACAGGAATCTTAGAATGTATGAAATAGAGGCTGCAGAACTACCTCTGTGCATTACAAATTTGCCCACTCCAAGAGAGAAAAAAACAACAAGAACAAATCTACAACACAAAGAGTACACAGTTATCAGTAGGGTTAAAGGATAAAGACCACTGATGGAATACACTAAGGATAGCATATCGAAACCAAAAAACACCTTGGTCTAAATTGTGGCGAGCATAAATTACTCCCATATAATAGTAAATTAATTAACACCACACCGGTGACTCATCCCAGGAGAGGGACAAAACCATGAGTACGGCACCAGTTAAGGTAAAAATGTGAGTGGATGGTTTATATAAATTTCTCTAGCGATACTCCTTTCTCCTTTCTAAACCCAGCTCCGTATCAACTTCAGATTTTCAATACCTATTTGACACAGATTAATTAACCAAAGACCATGGAATAACACTTTAAAATTTCTCCACTCTGGAACTTCTGGATAGGACGGAGACGTAGGCAGACGTGCTTCGCCTCCTCTCACAATCACAAAAAGAATTACAACTAAATCTCAAAACAAGTAACATCCAGAACTGTCCGTCAAACTGTATGGAAGTCCAAACACCAAGGATTTAAGGAGCCACACTCATCCATATGCGCAGGAGGGGCGGAGATATGGAGACTGAACAGAGAGTTGAGGAGTTGAGCTGTAGCACAGAGAGATGGATGCAGAATGGGCACATGAGGTCCCACATTTATGTGTGGTGGATAAAAATCAGGAGGGATACCTTGGGAGCGAGCAACACCAGTTCCAGGACAGTTCCAGCACTGGGATGACAGATCCCCATAACTTCTGGCTGTAGAAATGAGTGGGGGTCGGGGTGGCGAAAGAAACTGCGAGATTTTCAGGAAAATTTGCTTAAAAGGCCCACATGGTCTTAAAACATACACAGACCTACCCACTCTAGGATTCAACACCAGAGCAACCTGAAAGGGCACTAGTCACATATGGAGAGTGAGTGAAATGACTGGAAATGGGGCAAGAGCCAGGCGAACTCTTAGAAACTAGGAAGTGGCACAGTCCCCACTCTGAGCCCTCCCCCACACAGAGCCACTAAGCAGTGAAGCAGGTGGCCCCACCCTGGTCATCACCTAAGACTCCATCCCACACAATTCACAGGTACCTTTTACAGGGAGTCAAAACAGTTCTACCTAATACACAGAAACAAACACAGGGAGGATACCAAATTGAGGAGACAAAGAAATGTGGCCCAAATGAAAGAACAGAACAAAACCCCAGAAAAAGAACTAAACAAAATGGAGATAGCCAACCTATCAGATGCAGAGTTGAAAACACTGGTGATCAAGATGCTCGAAAAACTCATTGAGTATGGCAATAACATAAATGAAGAAATGAAGGTTACACTAAGTGAAATAAAGAAAAACCTACAGGGAACCAACGGAGAAGAGAAGGAAGCCAGGATTCAAATTGATGATTTAGAACATAAGGCAGAAATAAACATTTGACCAGAATAGAAAGAAAAAACAAGAATTCAGAAGAAGTGAGGATAGTGTAACAAGACTCTGGGACATCTCCAAACATGCCAACATCCAAATCATAGGGACGCCAGGAGAAGAGGAAGAGCATGAAATTGAAACCACATTTGAAAAAAAATAATGAAAGAAAACTTCCCTAATTTGGCAAAGGAAATAGACATACAAATCTAGGAAGCACAGAGAGTCCCAAACAAGTTGGACCCAAAGAGGACCACACCAAGACACATCATAACTAAAATGCCAAAGGTGAAAGATACGGAGAGAATCTTAAAAGCAGCAAGGAAAAACAAGCTACAAAGGAGTTCCCATAAGACTGTCAGCTGATTTCTCTAAAGAAACTTTGCAGGCAAGAAGGAACAGGCAAGAAGTATCCAAAGTGATAAAAAGCAAGGACTTAACAAGGATTACTCTACCCAGCAAAGCTGTCACTTAGAATGGAAGGGCAGATAAAGTGCTTCCCAGACGAGGTAAAGCTAAAGGAGTTCATCATCACCAAGCCATTATTATATTAAATGTTAAAGGGACTTATTAAAGAAAAAGATCAAAACTATGAACATTTAAAAGACAACAAATTTACAACTATCAACAACTGAATCTCACACACATACACACACACACCCACCCTCCAAACAAATAAACAAGAAAAACTAACAATAAACAAAAAAAACTAACAACCAGAGCAGGAACAGAATCATAGGTATGGAGATTATTTGGAAGGTTATCAGCTGGGAGGGGGAAGGGAGAGAATGGGATAAAGGTGAAGGGAA